GAATTCAGCACAGTATAGCAGAAAATCGCAATTGAAAGGTCTGTTTTGTTTCTTGGGAGTTCTTTTCTCATTTGTTCGATAACGGTCGATAAGAAAATATACAATGTTTTTAAACCTGATTTTAGACTGAATAATAGTTTGTAATTACATGTTAATATTGAAGTGGAAAAGAGCTTTTTTAAAATTTTTAGAATGAATCTCATTCTTAAAGATTGAAAATTAAGCCGCTATTTTTCAAAATTGACTCACTTTTTATAGCGAGGTTCCACTCTAAAGAATTTAGAAAAGTAGCAGCTCTTCTATAAGAAAAAATTATTTTATATTTCTTGAAAATCCGAGAGATTCTTACGCACTTTTTATTAAATTTATTATTCAAATAATAATTTATCCAATACAAATAGTATTATTTTAAAATAGTTTTCTCTACTGATATCGATCTTCAAACAAAATATCTGTTATAAATTTTTTTAAATCCTCCATTTGTATCCTAATGATTATATTAATGAATACTTTTTTCCTATTATATTAGGTGTTGGAATTAATTCGTAGCGTTTTTAAAGTGATGGGAAATACTTTCATTAATGTATTTTTTAATGCTCATGTGAAATAAATAACATTCTTTCATTTAAAAACGCTACGAATTAATTCCAACACCTAATATATTAATTTTGAGGAAGATTTTATTAAAATATTTTCTAACGATTATATTTTCACTTTTATTTTATGATTTACTTGCTGATGGACAGATGCATGGATAGAAATAGACAGATGAGCAGCGTTGCGCTAAATTTCAATTCATCTTATATTAATCGTGATTACGCTAATAAATATTCAACTATTCTATAATAATAATGTCATCGGAATGAAGAACCGAGGTTTTATTATTATTAGTATGAAAGCTTGAATACTTTATTAACGGAATTGGGATCTTTTTTCACTCTTGCGAATTATTTTAATTTCGCTTACATTAATAATGATGCTAATAAATATTAACTTTTTTCTAATAATAATTATTGAACGTAAAAAATCTTCTAAAAAATTAATATTTCACAGAATTGCATTAATGTTTGACCTTGTATAATAATAATAATGTGATTAAATAAGAAAATCAAAATTTTATTGTATGTACATATATTATTAATATGGAAATTTAAAAATATTATTAGCGCAATTAAAGTTTTTTCACCTTTGCGAATAATTTTAATTCCATTTGCATTTTGATAATAATAATGTTGCTAATAAATAAGTAATCGATCTCTTGTAATAGTAATTGTTGAACATAAATAGTCTACAAAAAATTTCTTAATTAATATTTTACAAAATTGCGTTAATATTTGAAATAATAGTGTGATTAAATAAAAATCTCTTTTATTATTATTTAAAGAATATTAACAGAGAAGTTTAAATATTTTATTATCGTAATTAAAATTTTTTTCATCTTTGCGAATGATTTTAATTTCGCTTGTATTTTTTAAATAACAATATCGCTAAATATTAGCTCTCTTCTAATAATAATTGTTAAACATAAAAAAATCTACACAATTAAAGTTTCTTAATTAATATTTTACAGAACTGCATTAATAAATATTTTATCTTCCAAAATAATGTGATTAAATAAAAAACCAAGAAAATTTTATTATATATATATATATATATATATATATATATATATTATCAACATAAAAGTTTAAATATTATTAATAATATTTTATTAGCGCAATTAAGATCTTTTCCATTCTCGCGTATCATTTTAATCCCGCTTATATTTTGATAATAATAATACTAAATATTAGCTCTCTTTTAGTAATAATGTTGAATGCAAAAAATCTGCAATAAAATTTTTTAATTAATATTAAAATAAAATTTTTTAATTAATATTTCACAGCTGCGTTTGTACTAAAAATGAACGGTAAAATAATAATAAAATTATCTTGCGTCATCTAACGATTAGTCGCGGAATGAAATATTTCCACGCACGTGGGCGCAACAATCATTTTATACCGTGAAATCGAAAGTGTTTGTCACTGATCGCGGGCGTGCCGAGCGTGTCGCGCGAATGGAAATGTAGAATAGTGAAAACTGTCGTGTACTCGCTCTGCCGAGTAAATCCACCTCGATTATCGATTTCCCTCCCACGCGTCGCCACGTGGAAAAGATCACCTTTTGCGGCGATTCGCCCTTCGCACTCGTCCCACAGATTTCAGCAAAGCTCGACAAAGCAAATTTCATTCTATTGCCGGCACGAGCCGTCACCTTCAAAATGCTGATTATATAGAGTTTCTCCCGAGCTCATAGAATATTTGTTACCTCTATAATGTCACACGAGCAATTAAAGGTCTGAAACTGAATTATATGCACTTTATAAATTTAATCGTGATAATTATATGAGTGAAACTAAATGAACTCAGGGGAAAAAAGACACAAAAGGACAAGTCCGTCTCATGACGTCAAACTTGTTAAACCCTTCGAGCCTAACGATGTTTAAAATATTACGATGAAAAAATGACATTAACGGCATTATAGCGACACCAGTATAATTTAAAATAATCTTGTTTATTTAATAACGGTATTAATAAAACAAATACGGTATACTTTTGTTTTAATAAAATGTTTTATTGAGAAAAAAATGTAACATTAGTTGAATATTTGTTAAGTGTAAATATATATGCGCTTATTTTGTATAAGAACTATTGATTTAATTTAATTATCATTTTCAATTAGGAAACGTTAATTTACCGTAAATAAATGTTAAGTTAATATTATTCAAACTATTAAAATTTAATGCATTTTTTTACTGTTATTGAAGTAGGAAGATTACTTTTAATTAGACTGCTTGATTAAAGCTGTTAATTCAATAATTACCTTCTTCATGTATTGATTAAAGTTTTAAAAAATATATGTATACTGAGATAAAATCATATAATTGAGTTCCGATAGAATGGAACTGTAGAATAGCTGATGTGATTAATCTTTAATGATAATGAATGAGAAACGTTTCAATGAATTTTACGGCATTGTTACGATAAGACATAGATCGAAACGGATTGATGAAACTACTCTACTTCAACAAAATTAGAGTTCACGCAGTTACGATTTTTCTCGATTCCCAAGAACGTAAAAATCAATCGATAGATGCGTAGCAACGTGTTATCGCTTCTGACTTTGTTAGAACGGCGAAGGTAAGAGCCATCTCGTCGGCCAGATTGCAGCGGTGAAGGTAGGTGCATTGAACTGTTGCAACCGAAGCGTCCTGTACACGTCTAACTCTGTCTGTTTACATACCTGGGTTCTCGATTACTAGTTTGAGGATACTGAAGAGAGGGATCTGAGTATCAAGGTTCTTAGAAGGAATGGGGGAAGGGGAGGGGGAGAGACAAACGTGGCAGTAAATGAAATATCGATGTACTGCGTGTATCCTACAGAGAAACACCATTACTTCTACTTAAGAGAAGCCATTCCCTCCCCCTCCCCCTCGCCCCAGAAAGGGAGGATTTTTTGGGCCCACCTGCGATCTTCGCGAATTCTATTCTTTTGCGCAGCGACAGGATATAATTAGTTACTAGTCAATTGTGTTCGAGTGTCACGCAGAAATGCCGCGTGACCTTCTCGTACCTCGAAAGTAAATTATCGCTCGCTATACAGCGTGTCCCATATAATGTAACTACGAGTTCCTATTAATTACGATATGAATTTATTGTTTAATTAACAATATAGTGAACGCGCCATTTATCCTCTTTCTATTAGTAATAAATTACAAAATAAAATTAATATGACAATTACACATTTTTTTAAATTACCTCAGATATTTTTAATATCAAAAGAAAATATTTTTGAAAGCTTGAAATTTTGAGTTTACGTGAGAAGATAATTTAACTCGATGCAACATTGAAGTTTCGGTTTTTGTTTTTTCTATAATAAATCTATTACAATTTGAAAGGCAACAATGCTGATAGACACCCTATAAGCAGTCGCGCTATACAAACTTGCTACTTAGATGAAAGCGATCGCCAGTAAGTCAGTATATTCCTCGCTAACTAGTTCTTCATGTGTCTACACAACAAACTCAAGCGGCTGAGGCAAAAGGGAGTTGAGGGGTGAACTTATCGCAATAATAGCTGTATCGATGGGAGAGTGGTAAAAGTCAACGCCAAAAGGATTACTGTCGCCATTTTGGACCAGCATTTCTCATCTTGTCATTTCTTCAGTATTGATCGAAGTCACTTTAACGATTCCTTTTACCAAGCATCTTTTCTTACTCAGCAAACATCAACTAAAAGTAACGTAACATTAATGGCTGCGTTTAATAGAAAAAACAGCTTTGTAGTAGAGTCTTAGAAAGCCAGAAATGTTATATTGAGTCAGTTAAGTTAGTCGCAGCTGTCATTTTGTTTCCAATATTATATATACTGATTGGCTATCTAAATCATATAATCATCATTTTTTCCTTGTTTATAATAGCCTGTCAACCTATATTTTTTAGCCTCTTTAGATAGCTGATCAGACTACATTGTTCTATAATGAATCTCTGGTTTTGTAGAACTCTATTTTGTTATAAACTCTTTTAATATGATTATAATCTTATCTTTCGTTCCTCTCACAGGAACGGAAAAAAAATGTTTAAACCAGCCATATTAAAAAATCTTAAACAGTTGCAAAACTACTTTGTCTGCTGAACACAATGTTATAATTTCTCACTAAGGGACCTATTCTGTAACTCTTAACGACTATAACTACAGCGTTACAGTGTCATTACGCAAGTTTTGTACACGATACTATAACACAGTTACAGAATAGATCCTTTAATAACATAAGTATTATGTAACACACGTGTTATGCTACATTTACATTGTTCAGTGTGGAATTGTAACATTGACGTTACTTTTAGTTGCTGTTTACTGGGTAACAATTGCGCGATTTTTCCTGACGCGTGATGTGCAAATTATGCCGTTCAAAATGGCGACTCGCGATCCTTTTGCACTGAAGAGATTCATGCGGTCGACCTGGTCCTGGGCATGTCGGCCCCGAGACCGCTGTCCTCGCTCGGCGACCTATACTCCTGGCTATCCCGCGGTAGAAGAGGGCCCGTCACTCCTAGGGGATCTCCCTCGACGTCCACCAGTCGTCCCGGACGGCAACAACCACCGGGCACACCCCTCTGCGGGAAATCAGATGTCCTATGTCATGCCGTGCGCCCTTTCCGTTACCGCGCGTGAAAAGAGAGTGCTCTCTCTCATTTCCTTTCCTCGAACGAGGGGCGATCGGCCGATCGATGATTTCATCGGCGATTTCACCGGTGAGATGATATAAGAAATATCCCTGCGGGCCGTTCCTTATCTCGCACGTGTTCGCAAATATTTATTATACCGACGTTGACGAATGACGTTGTTATTTTTATTCTCAGGTATAGATATCTTTTCGTAACTTCTACAGCGATTAATTATACGGAGAGAACGGTTTTGTTGAAGTATGTATATGAAAAGTTAGCTAGATAGATTTGATAAATTTCGTTTGGACTATTAAAATAGTTATGTAGGACGTTCTAACTAATTACTAGAATGTCAAAACTTTTTGCAATATTGCTTGAGATTCCTACGTAATGATCTTGATGATCTAATAGAATTATTTTCAGATCTGTATCCAGCTAAATTAAATATTTTAACAAAACCATTCTTTCCATATAGTAATTTCAAATAAGAAAAAAATTGGTCGAAACTAAATAAGTTTATTTAAAGTTTAAGAGATAAGAGATCGAGAGACATTTTTACTAGCTTAATTAAAGTAAATAAAGATATGTGAAAGTAAAATATAATATAATTAAATAAAATATAATTACAAAATGAAATTGTTAAAATAATAAGTGATGTATTTTTGTTGGTATTGGAATAATGATAAAATTTTCATTAATTTTACGCGTGATGAAAATTAAAAATTACTGATGATAATGAAAATAGTAAGAATGAAATGATACTAAAATTTACGTACCAATTACAAATAAAATAATTGGCATCCTAATTAAAAAATATAAAATAATACTTAATATATTTGCCACATTAATAGAAAAGTGACACGAGTGAAAAATGAGTATTATTGAGATAATGAAAGAAAATGACTTGAAGACTTTTTTTCTTAAAAAAAACGACACATCTTTTTTCGTAGCTCTTCCAATTTACTAGATATACTATAGAGCAGAAGTGTCATTTGTCATTTCTTGTAATGATTGCTTATAAAAAAGACATTTTTTAGTTACCGTGAATGAATGTCGTCGGTGCTAAAATGATCATAAAATAAAAATATTGTCTTATTTGAAGTTATACTATTTTTTTTTTAATAATTGTATTTTAATTGGGTTTTTATTTATAGAAATAAATTTTACTTTAAGTTGTAACGTTATTCTGTATATTTAAAAAATAAAATGTTTTAATTAAAAATATTTTTAAATGTCAAAATTATAAATGCGACACTTCTCCAAATATTAGTACGTTTTTAAACATATAACATAGAAAAGTATCACAACTTTAATAAGGGATGGAATTTACTAGAGTTAACTAGAGTTACAGTGTTCGAATTTTGAAAACTTATGATGTAATTTTAAAATGCATTATAATTAGAAGTAAACATGGAAAGAAAATGAAGTCACGTATACTGACTATTCTAAAATGTTGTTCTAATTAGAATTTAAAAAATATATTTCAAAATTGCTAATTTTGAGATGTCACTTTTCTATCAATGTGGCGATATATTTAGTTGTCGAAATAATTACGTAAAATTCTAATTAAATAATATGTGATAAAAATGACTGATAATAATATATAATAAATTTCTTTTCGTTTCGATTCTTTTGTTTTCTCGAAAAAGTAAATGTCCTGAGAGAAAGAAAAATGTTTGCGTGACTATAATTACGTGATAAAATAATCACGATAGGAGCCGGTTTTATAGATTACTATAAAACGAGGCATTTTTATAATTATCACTACAATATAATAATAATTATATTTATAATTCTATACACAAAAAATATATAGATGATTTTAAAAACGACTACAATATTATATGTAATTTTTGGGGCCAAAAAACTATTTTTTTTGTATACAGAATTATAAATGTAATTATTATTACTAACATTATAGCAGTAATAACAAAAATAGAGCTCCTAATTATAATTATTTTATCATGCAATTGTTGTCACAAATATCAAACATTTTTCTCTCAATTAAATCGCGCATTTAATAGACGTATTTAGGTTTCACGCGGCTCGTTAACCTCGGTGAGTATCGATTAACTCGGACCCATCTGATCTGGCAGCAATTGGCAGCTCAAGCACCAGCGAAATTAGCAATTGTACAACAATTCATCATCGATCGACGTGTCGCACATCGTTCTGTCGGCAACATTTGTCTCCGCGCGTGCAGCTGACACTTGATTTACGACTCAAGCCGAGAGGCCGGAATGATCTACAGCTCATTTACGCCTCTGCCGATCGACAGCGTCGTGAATCGAGCGTCGATTCATCGGTTCGATTTTTCCACTCGAACGGAATTCTCGCGGGCAAAAAATTCGCTTTGATTTCGTACTCGCGCGAGGCAGTCATGTTTTCTGCGATTTTCCCGCGGAAAACGGAATGCTTTGCAGTTCGCTCGATTTTCGTTCAGCTCGCGCGGAAACCGCGAAACGGAACGAGCGTCTCGGGTCTCATAATGTTGTTTTTTAGTGAGAAAGAAGGTGGGAGGAAGATGGTGTGTGGCGAGCACAGCAGCTTTCTACTTGTCTGTTAGCGGCAGGCATCTAACAAATTGTATTCAACTAACGATAAGAAGGGAGAAAATGTATGCGCAAGAGCGCAACATTTTCTCGCTATGTGAAAATTCTTAATTATATATCATTATTTTAATTGCGGTAAAGAGAGCGGCGTTCACAGAAATACAATAACGTTTTTTATAGCATAATTATAATTATATTAGAAATTGACAACACGTGTCAATGTGTGTCAATTTCAAATAAAACAAATACGGTCTAAATTAATGTGCGTTAAATAATCTAGAGACGTATTTCCCATCGACTGAACATTAAAGAAAGTTTATATGAATGTAAGTCTCTGGAAACGCTTAATTTTTGAGGTAGGAAGAATATTATTGATTAACAATATTAAATAGTTAATGGAACAAATAATAAACATTTAAACATTTTTAGATATTAAACACTAGAAACTAATTTAATTTTAAAATTATTAAAGGTTTTCCAACCTTTTTTATAATAATTTGCATTTGTGTAAGGTTGAAAGTTATGATGGCAGATTATATTTGAAGAATTTGAAGATTTGAAAAATTTCTGTTATAATAAATTTTTCATTACTCGTTCCATTAATTGTTTAATATTATTAAACATAATAAAGTTCTGTTTGTCTCTAAAACGTTTCTAGACGCATATTTATGAACTTTTTTAAATGTTTGATCGATGGAAATACGTCCTTAGAAAATTTGATACTTTTAAATTTACCTATAAATTACACGATATAGCATTATGTATATGTAGAATTTTACATTTACATAATTTATACGTCATATATATAATTAAATATATATATAATTTACGTGTCATAATATAAATTACATTCTGTCTAATTATAATTATGCAACGTAATTATAAAGTGACACCCGATACTTTGCCCTCAATTACTCGCCATCGATTCCTTCGAATCAAATATAATGAATTAAATATTTTTCCTTTTTTTTTTTATAATGTCTGTAGAAGAATAAATAGGAATGAAAATAGGCATGTCTCAAAAAAATTCAATACAAAAGAATCGATTCTCCGAATTGCCGGCAAGCACGGACTAATCACAGGGAGCAAAGTAGCGCTGCAGCATATATAAGCAAGATTATAAATAATAGTAATAGCAGTAGCGTGACTAAGAGTCAATATAAGAATAAGAAGAAGAAGAAGAAGAGGTGTGAAAAGTAGAAGAAGAGAATATTTATAGCGTAATTCTAGAGAAAGTAATAGAAAGAAAAAGACACGCCGAGGAAAAAGCTGCGCTTGGACGAACAAAATTCGTTCCAATAACCCTCGTGTCGGTTAAACAAACAGCGTAATTAATAATAATGAATTACTAATTAATTTGCTACGACTAATCCTATTGTATTGACGTAAGCAACTATGGCGCTAGAAATATGTAAATGGACACAAAGCGTTTGCTTCTAAAAAACCAAACAGAACGCTTGAATGAAAGAGAAAGACGAAAAGTCGACAGATGGATGTTCTTCAAAAGTCACATGATTTATCTCTTAATTTTTCATGATGTGTTAAATTTAGCGCCAGTTTTCGAAACTAGCGTAGGTACGTGCTTTTTTCATTTGATGGAACAAATTCAAAGGTGTGGCTTTCAAACCGTACAGGCTTCGTACATATTCGCGTATGACGTATAACGTTAGAAGAGACCATTAAACGTTATCTGCGCGGTAGAAATATGGCAGAAATTGTTCGCCGCGCTTGGGACACGTCATTTGCTCGACGGACCCCGATATTTCCTTGTACCAGAGAGCGAGTTTTGTTCATCATCAGGCAGCTGTTGTTCTCAGCGCGGAAGGAGAGAGAGGAGAGAGAGAGAGAGAGAGAGAGAGAGAGAGAGAGAGAGAAAGGGAGAGAGAAAGAGACGAAGAGGCTGCAAGTCATTTTCCTAAAAGACGAGTCATGCTTTGTTCGAGGAGAAGATAACGATAGACCGGAACGATCAAACGAAACAGGATCGATCATAATGGCGATCGATCGATATTGCGCACCTCCCTTTCTTTCTCTCTCTCTTTCTCTCTCTCGAACGAGAGAGCGGCGCAAAGGATTCTTTCGCGAAACGGCCTCCGGGAGGATCGCGGATTCTCCGCTGAGGGATCCTTCGTTCTTCCTAAGAGCATCCTTCCTGTGTGCGTAGCGTTCTCCATTTCCTCGCACCTCTCCAATCAATATTTAATTGATATTCACGAATTTCCATCCTGTTTCGACCGTCGGTCGCATCTGTGCCGATCACCGATAACGAGCGACAATTCGATTTCCGAATGTCCGTTCCCATATTTATCGCTTGCATTGATTTACCTAGTGATTTCTACTTTCATGTTGAAAGTCTTTCTTGCTTTTGCACCCAAATTATTTTTGTTGCGTACAATATTTATATGTATATAATTTAGATGTAACACGATGATACTTAAATATTAAGCTATATTTATTTGTATTAATTTTATGAACTCTACGAACTTTAGTATTACATATTAATTTGGTATTACGATATAAATATTAAAGTATATTAATATTAATATTTAGTATTTATACTAATTTAGTATAGTATTTACTATAGCAATAATAATAAGAGGTATATTAAATTATATTTAATGTTCATATACTAAATATTAAATGTTTTTTGAAGTACAAAATATATTTAATTTACAAAAAATATTAAAATGTTGAGTTTGTTATATTATTATATTTAATATTTACTAAATATCAAATATACTTACTTAAATAACTTTAATTTGGTATCTAAATATCGTTATTGTTTAAGATTAATACAGTAAGATAGATTTATTTTCTTTCGCACATAGTAATTATTTTGAGATCATGTACAAAAGTATGAATCTATATCATTTGAACAGTTTATCAATTTTTAAGCTGATATTAAATATAATATCTAATTAAATATTAAATATACTCTAGTATTTCAGTATCATCAGTATTATACTTAATTTTATAAAAATAAAAATTTGTGTTATTATAATTACTTTGAGAGCTCTTACGAAAACATGAATCTATATTATTTCAACAATCATCAATTTTTATTGTTTATGATAATAACAAGTCTAGTTAACTATGAAACATTACTTTTGAAATTTTGATACAATAATTTACTATACAAGTTCTACTTTTTGTCGCAGTAATTATTTCGAGCTATTTTCGTTGATTATATAAATTATAGCGCTTTTGTTTGAATTATTAATCGCTGTAGGACATTTCTCCTGACATTGGTTCCTTTTGTCCGAATAATTTCGCTCGTTCTCGGGTAGACAATAATTTTCCAACGGCCGCAATTTGTCGATTAGGAACGCGCTCGTGCGACGAGGAACTTTCGGGGAATATTTCCCCGTTGCTTTCCCCGCGGAGTCCATCGACAAAGGGCGAGCACGCAAAAGCGATTTTGAGTGTCTCGGCAATTAGGGTGAGCAAGAGATCCACAGAACAGCAAGTGAGGAAAAAGAGAGAGAGAGGAGAAAAAGTACTCGGTTCCATACATCATCCTCGTAGAGACAAGAGTTGACAGAAAACGTGTACGTGTGCCTGTACGTGAGTAACAATGCGCACAACGCGCGGTGTAATCCGGGAATTTATGCGTGTGATGTATTATATATGTAATTATATATGTGTATACGTATATGTGTATGTATATGTTACGAGTTTGCGTTCTATGTAAGCTCGAGGGATATGAATAGAATATAGAAGAAGAGAGACTGACTCACCGGAAGATCGTGGAGCGAGGGAGTCACTATCAGGTCCGAGTGTGCGCGGTCGCCTTTTCTCTGGAAATGAAAATATGAAGCACTATTTTAAAAATTGTCTTGCCACTTTCGGCTTTCTTTCAAGATCACCTCTTAATCGCGCGATTTACGTTCCGATGAAATGGTACAACAGTCGTAAACCGCCGTTCGGATTAAGAGGATACTGGAATGACCAAATTATCGACATTACAGTCGTATAAAAATCTCTGAATTGACTGAACGGAATTAAAAATCCTTTTACAGAATTAAAGTGGACGCAAAATTAGAAGTTGACTTTATATTAAAATCGGAAAAAAGTTAAAAACTGGTACAAAAGTCCTTAAAATAATTCTTAAAATAATCCTGTCCTCGAGATAATTAGATCAGAAAATAGCACATTACTTCTAAAGAAGTCACGAAATTATCGCAAAATCGAAATTTTCGGATGTCTTTCTATTACAGACAAAAATCAATTTATACTTTAATTAATATAAATTTAGACAAAAATCAATTTATATTTTAATAAATTTTGTATTACAAATTAATTTTTTACATCTTAAATGTAGTAGTAAATAATATTTAAATGAGAACTTGTCTATTTATTCTTTTCTCTAAAACTAAATTCGCAAGTTTCACCTCCAATTTAATTATACAATTCTTTTATCGCTCCTTAATAATTGAAACCTCATTGTATACATCCTAAATACATTTCTCATAAAGTTTTATATTTCATTATTATTAATTCAATTTTTTTTTGTACCAGTGTTAGAAATATTTCGTTGAAAATTCCGGGCACGTGTTCTAACTTAACAATTCTTATTGAATATTTCATATGATTTGAGTTTCCGCATATAATCCATATTCTCTGAGTATTCTCTTAAGGATTAAAATCATTTTAGTTAAGGATCACTTACCCTGGCCATTGCTATTCGGGGTCGGTAAACGAGATCGTCGAAGGCCGCTCTGTCCTTGTTGTCAACCAACTCCCTAAGCTCCGTCAACAGCGTCAGTTTCTCGTGGGTATTCAACAGATCGCTCAGGCTGACGATCAATTCCTCTATCGTCAGCCTTCTCGTCCTGTAATCCGCCAAAAGCTGAGAGAGCGCGGCTCGTTCGCTTCTAGCGAGGACGACCCGCGCCTTCTCCTCCACCATGGCGGCGGTGGCTGCCGAAACGGTGTGAACGCCACTCCGGTGTCTCCATTCGTTCGTGCTGCTCCTTGATTTTCGAAAAATTGATCGACAATTAAATTGCACGGCGTTAAATAAAAATAATTGTTAAACGACCACGAGGTCGAGGGATGATTTACAAATAAACTCATAGCGGCATTTGGCTTAGAATATTCAACATTTTCATCTTACTTTAAAATGTATTTATGGTAAGCCAATTAATTTTTTAGTAGTTACTGAACATCGTTTATGGATTATATCGAAATTTAAATTGAAAATATGATTTACATGAATTTTGTCCGGAAAACACGTGGCGATGTATTGATTTTAATTAAGCTGGCTTCTTTCAATATTCACGATTTAATTAATTATGATCAGCAAATATTATTCTTATATTATTATACAAGTTTAATTATTGATTTCATTGACGTTATTTAATTCAGATTTTTACATAACGAATTAATATTGACATTTGAAACAGAATTTATGTGAGGATTTAAGAATTATCAAGAGACTCATGCCAAGTAAATTTTTCATAAATTTTTAATTCTATACGTTTTAATTTTTCTGTCCATATAAATATGATGTAAATTTTAAATATATAATTAATGAAAGATAATATCCAGACAATATATACCTAAAAATATATATATTATATATATATATATTATATATATATATTATATATATGTATATGACAGAGATTATATTTAAAATTTATTTTAATTTAAGCTTTATTATTTGAAATTTTTTTTTTATAAAAACGTTTTTGACTTACGCGGGACTGGGCGGACGATGATTCCCGGGACTTTCCAGAAGTAAAGGATCGTGCTCGGGATATCGGGCGGTCGGAATTACTATAGGCTGGCTGGTGGTACACGAATGGGGCACTTTGCCGACATCACGTATCAGCAGGTTCATCCTCTTGTTGGTCTTCAGTATCTGAACAGCCTCATCGTGCGTCGCCTCCTCGAAATTCTGCCCATTCACTTCAATAATCTGATCGCCCACCTGTGATCATTCGGGATATTGCATCTCATATTAGAACTTGAGTCATAAATGGGAAAATTAAAAGGTATAAGTAAAATAGAGCAGTATCGAAAGTTAATATTAATTATACTGTCATAAATTAAATGAATAAAATAAATAGTATGCGCATTATAACAGATATTCATCAGTCAAATTATACTCAGTTTGAGTTATTTTTAATCACTTCTACTCAATATATTATTTTAATTTCACTAAAACAATGGAATTTAAATTCAAGAAATGTATTCATTAAAATTTAGTTTATTATTTATTAAACGCATACATTAATATGGACATTGTTTACTTTGAAACTAAGCAATTCAATTACAGAAATTGATTACATTTTGACACCAATAAAAATAACAAAATATTTTATTAATTTAATTTAAAGGGTTGAGGCATTTCTTTGATATTTAACAGTGTAGTACATTCAATAAAATATACTTTTGTTAAAAATTGCACTTAAAAACGTTAAGTTAGTCGCGTGTATTTCTTGGGAAACTGTCGTAAAAACTTGAGATCTAACAGAAAAGCGTGATTCTCACGAGGAGCCCGGCGCGATCGGCGACGCTGTCCTTGTCGACGCCCGTCACGTAGATTCCGAGGCCATATTCGAGGCCGCCACGGATCATCAGGCCTAGAGATTGGCCGGGTTCGATGCACAGCTCGACTTTCCGCGTCCTCGGTCCGTAGCGGGAATCGCGGGGTGGATGAGGAGGCGGTGGAGACGCCGGACGACCTTGGCGGTCCATCCAACTGCAGGACTGTGGACGACCCGACGACGACCATACAGGGTGACCGCCCCGACAGCGGGGGTCCAAGGCGGGTCCTCGCACCGTCATGCTCAGAGTCCTGCAGGACTTCAGCATCTGTTGTGAACGCGAAGAACAATATCGCGTAACATGAAAGAGTCAGGGGATGAATTTTTATTAAGGGATGATTGAAGGGGCGGGAAGTCTGCACGAGAGTTTCTTTGAGCAGTCTTGAGATATAAATTCTCTGCGGCGGAAATTTATACTGAGAGAAATAAATGTTTAGTATTTATAACTATATATATATTTATAGTTCTATTAAAAAATATGTTGGTCGAAAATGATTATAATTTAAATTGATAACATGTTTATTGCAATCATTTTTTTATCAGTGTAATTAATCGATATCTTTTACCGTTATTTGCGTATAAACCTCTACGGTTGAGTACTTTGATAATTAAAATAAGAAATAGGTATTAATAATGTTCTTTAAATTACATTTTTTAAGAATAATAACTAGAAATTTTGAGGTTTTTAAAATTTTTCTACTGATAATATTAATTCGTAGTTCTATGTTTATTCATTGCGTTTTGCAATTATAATTTCATATTTAAATTTTTAGGAACGTGTCAAGAATATTAAAATTTTTAAAGACATATAATTTCTGCAAAAAACTCAATTTTTAATCTAAACTTTCCGTATGGAAATCTGTATTTTATTCTCTATTCAATTAAAAGCCATTATTATTATTGTTAAAAATGAATGTTATACATATATAATACATGAAACAGTTCAAGATAAAATCAATATTTATATTTAACAATATAATTTCGTAATTTAAATGAACATTTTTTTATTTTATCTTTTTTTTTATAAAAAAAAGCGTCTATTTTTTGAAGTAATTTTTGGTCCAGGTTCTAAATCGCCGCCAAACTTTTTGTATTGTTTTCAAATACAATATAAAAAAATTTAATTTTTCCATAATTATTCATTTTGTTAAAAAATACATCTATTACATTTTATAAAAGGCGCAGAGAGAAATTGAAATATCGTACTATTTGACAAATTCTCATATAATTTTACATTTTGAGTGGTATTTTCTACATTAATTAACAGCAAATAAAATATCACATGGCAAACATTCGTCAGCTGTACAATTTTTTAAGAAAATTATTGGGAAAAATTTTGTGCAAATGAATTATAATTTCCTTATACAATTTATCTCTGTATATTTTTCATCTATCAAAGAATAAAAGTATGATAACATTTAAAAATATGTGTGCACAAATACAAATTAATTTTTATAAGAACAGAGTTATATTTTCAACAACACGAAGAAATTTGGAAATAATAAACAAAGGCTCAACGTTTTAAGATTAATTTCTTGCGCAGACACGCGGTAGAGGGTAGTTAATGAAGAACAGCAAAGCATCTAAAGTGACTGTTTATAGATAAAATAGAATGAAGTTAATGAAGAGAAACCAATGGAGACGTGTTTCGTGGCGATGTGACGCCACTCGGCAACCAGCAGGATATCGATCCTCTTGGCAGAGCCTGTGACGTCACATCCTACCCTATCCTTGACCCAGCCTGGATAGCGACGTCCCTAGGATCCCGCGGTTCTCTTATAAGATATGGATCCCTCCTGGGGTAGCCTCGTCCTGACGGCCTTCTCATAACGCGACCAGACGACGGTGTGCGAGCGGCATACAGGAAACGATGATTCTCTCCCTTGCACTTGTAACGCCGGAAACGCCTTTAGAATGAGGAAACTCATTCTAAAGGCGTTTCCGGAGGAATAAAAATTCCGTCTCATCTCTACGACGATGGCGGAATCGCATTTGACAAATGCATTTCGCCGCGACTCGATCCCGGAGATGTGCCTTTCGGAACGTATCGTAAACCGCGTGTCTATCCATTTCCCTATCCAACTTTCCGTCCTCCAAATTCCGTCGCGTACAAATTGGACGTGCTGTTTTATGTGCAATAGACAACTCGCAAATGGAATTCCGAAAATTCCGCATGCACTCGAGCAATTGCGAACTTTATTAGCTTTTCTAAACTCTGTTCTCTTTCATCGTTTTATGAACTTAACAGCTTTTAGTGTATGAAAATATGCTGGCCTATTTGCTCTTTTTATTGATTTATCGATAAGAAAATATATACCTATAAAAAAGACTTTAGAAAGATAAAAAAAGATACGCCAGTAGTATATAAATGCATTCAAATGTATGCAACGAATATTTTTGAAAAACTTATATTTATTTAATAGTTCACTTCAAAAATGAGCATGAAATCAATACAATTAGCCAACTATATCTCATTACAAGAAAAGAGGTCTTGAAAACCCTATAAAAAATTATTAAAAAATTATTTGTGAATAGTATATTTAGTAATGATTTAATGTATTTAAAAGTATGTGCAGCTGAAGTTTAACGAATCTGTGAAGCTAGCACGACATTTTATTAATATCAAAAAAATAATGAGTTAGCATTTTTTCAGTAGCATTTTTCAAAGTTCTACAGTTTTTCTAAAAATAAACAAAAGAATTCCGCATTTTTTATATGAAAAAACCAAATATGAAAATATGGCGTGCTAACTTAGCGAATTTAACACAACTTTTCTATAAAATACAAAAAAACAAATGATAAATATTTGCATTTTTAGCAACAGTTCCTGATAATTCTACTAAAAATCTACTAATATATATGCATTTTGAAAACAAAATTGCAACAATTTTCAATTTTTATGCATTTAATATATAAAAAAAAACGTCATGCTGATTTTTTCATATAAAAATTCGGAACTTTTTTTATTTTTAGAACTGTAGAACTATGAAAAGTGCTACTGGAACTGTCATTATTTTTTTTACATTAATAGAATGTCGTGCTAGTTTCACAGATCCAAGTTTAACGCGTTTATTGTCGTTTTATGCAAATTTTAAGTCGCATGAAATAAATTTAAAATGATTAAAATGATTAAAGGGATCGTAGTGAAGCAGGAAATTTCCATCAGAAAGCAGTGCAGCAGTACAAGAGACTATTTGCAAGGGTTTGTTTCAAATCCAAGGAATTTTATGAACAGGGCATCTATCATCTGGTTTTATAATGGAAGAAGCGCCTTGCCAATCGTGATGATTATTAAACATATCAATAGTTTCAATATCTGAATTTTTTATTCACTACTTTCTAAAACTTTTAGAGTGAATTGTCACTCTGAAGAATGAAATTTCACTCTTAAAGATTGAAACATTCTTTTTCAAGACTGGCTTAATTTTCACTCTTTATGAGTGAGATTCCATTTTAAAAAATTTAGAGAATACCTTTCATTTGATTGTCTTAATAGATAATGAATAATAAATAATAATAAATAATCATTTCTAAAAATCAATGTCATTATTAATTATAATTTTTATTTTTCACCAATATTTGATTAATGCCAAATTTTCTACTTCCCAATCAGTTCTGTCACATAGGAATATATCACATTTTTCAAATTTCCATCTATGGCGACTTAATATTGTCGATCAATCTCAGTTATCTCTCATCTTGAAAGTTCCATATCCATCTAACTCACGACATGTTGTGTCATGTCGTGTCGCATACGAGGGAAATTAACATCAGATTAGCTGTCAAGAACAGATGAAAAGCTCCAAGATAGTTGGACGTCAGCCGATTCCGTGATCAGTGTCCATCTTCTCATTCGATTAAATAAATAATTCATACGATGAGACATTAAAACCGTTTGGCGAACTCGAACTGGCCAAGAAGAACCCTAAAACTATCGTTATCTCGTCTAAGATCCGCGTCATCTGCAAAAGGCTCGCGTGCCATCATATTTTCGGCCATCCGGAAGTCGTTAACTACGAGCGGTCCGAAAGTTACGACGCCATCCGGCGGATATCGTTCTGATCGCTTTCGCCAACAAAATCGTTTTCTGGGTCAGCCGGATCGACCCTGATCGCGTGTCTTCTCGCTATCGATGATAAAATTGTAAGACTTATAGCTTACGACATCTTAGAGAGTCAACTTGTGTAGACAGACATCGCGAAAGTTTGTTCTTCTCATGTATCTAACTAGGGAGATCAACTATATATATATTGCTAAATGGAAGTTATTATATTTTAAATTAAAAAAAAAAAGGATTCAGATTTCTGTGTTAATTTTAGACTTTTATATTAGTTCAGCAATGATGATTTGTTTGACAACGATAATATACTTTAACTTTAAAAAGATTTTCAATAAAATCTTATAATATATAAAAATGCGTAATGATATATATGAAGAATAGAATTATGATCAAATTTCCAAAATAAAAACTTATAATATTATTCATACATATGCAAATGTTTTAGATTTCGTATAGAAGAACTTTGGCAAGGAAATTTTACGAATTTTTAAGGAAGATTTGCGATATAATTTTTCCAAGAATTTACAGAATTTCCTTGCCAAGATTCTTGTTACGAAATTTAAGATATTTAAGTTGTCGGAAATATATATTTTCAAGATTCGCTAAAAAGACATATTTGCATAATTTATTATGTATAAAGTACTGTTTAAAAGTTTCAATAAATGTTGCTTTTAGTAGGAAAACATGAATTAATTGTTTATTATATGCATTTATTTATTAAATGTTAGTCCTTTTTATGTATATTTATAAATGCATGTTTATAAATCGAAGAACTGTTGAAGTACTACATTTTTTTGTTTTAATTTTAACTAAATATTTGCTCACTAATGTCTTTTGAATTTTCTTAATTCTTTCTTTACACAGAAATTGAATTTAGTGAGCAAATATTTAATCAAACTGAAAAATTGTGAGCGAGTAACATATTCTATTTTACAAAGATAATCATCGGTTGTGTAAGGAAGACTGAGAGAAACATTCATAGTCTACAACTAATAATGTTCTAACGATCAAATAAACACTCAGATTAATATGCTAGTTCATTGTGATGTAAATTCTGAAAGCTTCAAGATTATATTGTACTTTTTAAAATATACTGAAAATATTAATTTAAATTAATAAATGTTTAATATAAAACACGAAAACAATTTTCCTATCTTTTATTTCTATCTTTTGTCTATCTGTTTATTCTAAATGTTTTGCCATTTACT